CTGTCTCAGTGTTATCTTTGCAGAAACGTGTGCATGTTTGTATGTACACACGCACATGTGTTTGTGTACTAAAATAATGAGGGTATATGAAAGATAGATTTAAATCATTTTTTTTTAAACTCCTTGTGTTAATTTTGGATTACAATAACTTGAATAGGTCACCAAGTTACCACAACATAACTGCTGACTGCTATAGAAAGGGGAGATTTATTAAGCTGTATATCTCATCTTTGCCTTCTTTCCAATTTACTCAGTGTGGAAAATGACTTTGGCCGTCCAAATCTTAACTTATGTTTGGACCCTTTCCATCTTTGAGTCCTATTCTAGTGTTGCTGACCATTAAAATGAATATTTCAGTGGGGCTGAAATAGTCTTATTAAGCCAAGCCAAGCTTTATATGGCTTGCACACTTTAAGAGGTTAATCTAGCCAGCCAGCTTACTTTGTTCAGATGTATTAAAAAAAAGACTGTAACATTCAAAGAAAAGCAAAGTTCACTAGGTAAGACCTCAATAATATAATGGAAGCATAAAAACCGCTAATTGCACACTTTAAGAGGTTAATCTAGCCAGCCAGCTTACTTTGTTCAGATGTATTAAAAAAAGACTGTAACATTCAAAGAAAAGCAAAGTTCACTAGGTAAGACCTCAATAATATAATGGAAGCATAAAAACCGCTAGAAATTTTTACCATGCTGTTTTATGAAACATATGCACACACTCACTGGAACAGAATCCAATTCAACTGGTTTTGAAGGTCAGTTCAAAAATTACTATGTATGCTTTATCTCTGTGAGAAATATGTACTATTTCAAGAGTGCCTGGACCCAGAAGCTTCTTTTCCCCAGTTTATAGTTTATTACCAGTCCAGTGGTGTACTATATAAGGGGAAAAAAGTCACCTACTACAGCAATGATACTATTTTCAGCTAAAGCATAAAGTTCATTAAATATTACATATTTCTGAATCAACGCATCCTTGTGTTACGAAACAAAAGGAATTAAATTGTGTAATTCTTGAAGGAAATGCAACGTTAAGTGTGAGCAATAAAAATTAAAATAAAAAACAATTATGTTATTCTCAACTTCAAGATGAATTAATGTGAAGCTGTTGATGTTCACTGTTGTGAAAGAAGCAAAAGATACTCAATTCTTACATGTAAAAGAAAAGAAAATTAGGGATGTGCATGATTAAAACCAACTATTAGAAACTGATGTTTCTAAAGTGCCCAAATTCTAGTGGCAACTGTGATTCTCCTAAAAGGAAGGAAGTAAAGGTCCACTTTGCATGACAAAGGTCAGATTTCTGCAGGCAAATGACACTTCTATAGTTGACTGTTCCTGGGTTGTCACTGTCTGGGGTGCATAAGGGGACAATCCTAAAAGGTCAAGAGAGGTTCCAAATTGTGCTCACTGCTTAAGAGACACCCCTGGGGCTGTCTTAATCAATTTAAGGTCATCAGAACTTTTCTTACTCTGGTTCTAGTTTTACTTCCTAAATCTTGCTAATATATATTGGTAATTCAGTATTGATGTAGATTTAAAAGAAATTAAAAGTATTTATTACATGCAGATCAAAAGATAGAATACACTCATTTAACAACTTCTTTTAAATCTACGATTGCATTCTATGAAATTCAAGTAGACACCAGAGATTGAGAATCTGGCCCTAATAGAAAATCAAAACTATATAATAGCTGTCCTGATATTTACACTACATAATCAGTGAGACTACTCTAGATTTCACTTAATATGATGAAATTACATCCTTATACAAAAGTTATTGTAAATGGTTTCTGAAATCATCACGTATATTTTATTATGGTAAAATTTTATTGTGTACTTTTTTTGTAATGAATTTTGAGCCACTGAAATACAATAAATGCTGAAGTAAAAATTATTATTTAACAATATTTCAATGCTTTTTTTATTTAGTGCAAATACATCTCTAAATGTTCTCACAATGAAATTGGAAATATACCAAATGGATTATATTTTTAAAAGTTGGAAGAGTTTTGCCTATTTGTAATTAATGAAGAGTATCTCTAAGTATTTTAGATAGCGTGCCGAAAACATCTGTATTTAATTATATCATACTTTTCTTAAACAGACAATGGGAATTGAATTAAGGAATATTTTGAAACCCCCTATAGAGATATTAAAGTATTAACGGCTGTTCAAGAACTTTATTGCTACAATGCTTGAAAATGTTTAGTTTTATAGATCAATAGCCCAACACTTCATAAATATCAGATTTTCAATATAAAAGGAAGAAACTTGAAAAACTGGGCAAATACAGAAAATGTATCACTAGAAAAGACCAGGGATTTTCACTATTATTACACATCAAATAAACAAGCATAAAAAATGTCTTGCATAATTGCACTGATTTGCATAACGGTTTGTTAACCTATATCCTGAGCAGGATTTCTCTTTGAATTTTGCTGGGGATTGAGGATTTCTATGAGAATAAATTAACAGCTTGTCATTCATTCTTCACAGAAGAAAAACCCTAATCTGCTCTCATGGAAACAGTGGGACACAAAGTACAGGTTTTTAGTTCTTGTCCTTAAGTATTGAAAAAGAAAAGATTTTCTTTCTGGATGCTTAGTGGTCCCAAATACCACTTCTTTTCAAAGTGAGTATCAGTTCTGCAGTCAGTTTTCATTCTCCCAGTGGTAAGAATATATTCAAAGGCTGTGTGCTCAGCAGGTCAGAAATCTTTCTCTGTGAATGTAACTGTATCACTCATCAGTAACCTCCTGCCATAAGGGAACTCAGTATTTTCTTTCCTTTTAGTGACTCCTTGGGCTCTTGAATGCGAGTCACTGCCCTGAGACCTGGGGCAATATTCACATAATCTCTGTCAATAGCATCTACACAGGCCACTGGTGCAACTAAATGTCAAGGCTGCAGATCAAAGTCCCCACATTCCGAAACTCGTGTCCTTTATGGATCAATTTTCATAAACTATATGCCATATTTAGAAATAGAGGCTCACTCTTTGCTTTCTTCCTTTTATCCCAGAGAAGTTTTTTTTTTTACAAGAAAGGCAATCTGATTTGTAGATAATAGTGTGAAATTCTGATGCAATACATAAAACTCAATCATTCTGCCATTGCACAGCCAGTCTGTTGAGGTATTTTATTATACCTATCATCATAACAGTAGAAATGCAAAAATCTTTAGGCTTTTAAAATAAAAAGGTACAGATTGCTTTGCAAAACTTAACCATCCTTTCCCAGTGCCTGGTACAATATGGGCTAGATGGTAGGTAACAAATTCTAACTCATGATTGATTTTACTTTTAAATCTTCATTATGCTACAGGTAAATTATATGACAAAAAATAGCTTCAACATGTGGTTTTTTTTTTTTTTTTTTTTTTTCCTTTTTTTTGTCTTTTTTCGTGTCCGGCAACGGATCGCAACCCTCAGTGTCACGCCCGTACCGGACCGGGACCGGCAACGGGATCGCAACCCTCGGTGTTGCTCCCGCACCTCGCTCAGCCAGTGAGCGGGAACCGGTCTGTATGTGGGATCCGAACCCTCGGCGGGAGGGGCACCCCGCCTCCCAGCAGCGCACTGGAGTCGGTCACCCCC